TATTGATTTAAACGTTAATTCAGATGAGTAGAAAGCCTTATAAATAATTGTTACTGAAGCAAAACAAGTCCCTTCACCACTTTTGTTGTACATTTGATAAACACCAATTTATTTGACCATAAGCTATTCTTATGGGTCATTAAGTCATTTTAAAAGATCAAATTAATTATGCTGTCCAGATATTTTGGAGCTGTTTATTCAGTTGCTAAGCACTTCTGAAACTTCTATTTTCCTTCCTAAGAACAAAGTCATACATGTTATGGAGCCTGCCTTTAAAGAACTCATAGTCCAATGATACATATACATATGAATATAGCTCAGTTTTTATCTTCTAACCTAACTAGACGTATCTTACAAACACAAATGAAGAAAATAACATTTGCAAATTCTAAGACCTATTTTTATTACCACTCACTGGATGATGTTCTTTTACTCTGTGACCAGAACTCATGGAAATAAACCACTCAGATTCTTGCAATAAGCTTGCTTTGGTCTCAAGAACTTGAAGTATTTTTAATAGTGTGAAGTGAGATAAATCTATTTTAGACATAACATTCTAATTTCTACATCAAAGTCCAAACATGTTGAATTTACATGCAGTCAGTCCTGTTGACAACATGATGCAAACTGCTTTTCTGGGGATGAAGGGCCATCCGCAAATATATGTTTAATTCCAGCTTCCAGTTGTAGTTACTGGCAAAGAAGTAAAATATATAGAAATTTTGTTTAAATGGATTTGCTAAATTCTATGCTCTATATGTGGATCCACAATAAATCAACAAAATGAAAGGATTAAGCACATTCTTTTACATATATTGTATCATGTATATGTGTATGCTCAGGTAGATAAATGAGTCAGTGGTAATAAGCAGTTAGAATCATATGCATTTCTGTCTACATTTTATGCTTGATGGAAAATAGGTATGGAGATTTGATATAAGGTGTGTTTAAAACATCTGCATGGCTTCTGAACTTTCTCTTCTCCCTTCCTTTTCCATCATATCTACCCGTCTTTGAACTAAGAATTCTTGAATTTCTTCAAAACTGAGTGCTGACCATGTTCTTTCGGGGGGAAAAATAGGATGAGGGCAAATAGGAGATACAGGTCCTCTTGAACATATACCCTTGAACCTATACCCCCTTGAACCTATATCCCCTTGAACCTATACTCCCAGTACCTTCAATTGGACAGGCAGATGGCCACACATTATGGTTTACCAACACTAACTATAGGGAGATCTAGAGAAATCAACTCGAATTTCCAATATAGAAAACTAGATAATGTTGTCTAAATTTTTAGCATCAAATTTGGAAGAAAATAATAATTATATTATAAATTGCTGACCGACACATCTTTAAATGTATTATTTTTACTGGGGAGTTATTTTAAAAATATATTAAAATGTTTCCAATTTACTCATTTATTTTCTGAATATTCAGCTTCCTCTGGACATCAACAATAACATAACTTTCTGTAGGAGCAATAAATCAAGAATGAGTATCTTTGCTCATACTAAGGAAATAAATCGGAGAGTACATTGCAAGGTATAAACATAGAACAATTTCCATTATATGCAATATACCATATAGCTATGATTACCTCAGAGTTACATAACCCTTCCATATTCCTGAAAGTCCAAGGAAGAACTTGATTTTCAATAGAAATTCTGCAGAATCTTAAGCTTCTTTCTACTCATAGTCTTGAAAAGAGCCTAGTGGGTATGCTGACATCCATTTGTCTGACTCCCCAAGATCCATTCCTATATTAAGCCATCAGACACTAAAGCACATTTACCACATTATCTCAGCCCTTCAAAGAATTGCTTTCACTGAGACACAACTTAATGTAATGTTCTTATCCTCTATTGAGGGTCGATACAGGAACCATTAGTTTGGACAGTGTTTCTTTATGTTTGAAGATTTTATTCCTAGATGTTCTCAGTATAACAACTCAGAAAGCAAATTTATTTTTTCCCAAGAAAAAATATTTCCTTGTATCTTTTTATTGTCAAAAAATTAAAAATAGTAAACTTCCCTGCATTTCTATTTTTATTTTCCTTAACATCTGAAAACTCAAAACCAAATCTCTTTGCTGTTATTATCTTGTTTTGGCTTAACCCAGGAAATAGAATCTATTTAATCAGGGTGCAAAAAAAAATTGTCTACTCTTAACAGATACAATACAATGTACCTCTTTTTTTTTTTTTATGAACAAGTGTAACTCTTTATTAAGATAGAATTGTTCTTATTCAAGAAATAGATGAAAATGGTTAAGTACAATTAAATGGCTCCAAAAGTCTTACAATGAAAACAACAGTCCTGCCAGTTGTTCTTTCCAGAGGCAAACAATTTTCATTCTTAGTTTTTCCTTCTGTTAGTTACCTTCATGGGTTTTTCCAAATTGTTATCTTTTTAGTTTTTCAAGTGAATGCATATATTAATACATAAAATTTTAAAAAGCTTCTTCAGTTTATAATGCATCCTAACAGTCCCCTGTCCCATCTCTCCTAATTCTCCAGAGCAATGACTTTTAACTCTTCCAGCAATGTCTTCTGTTTTTTCCCTCACATAACTACTTAGTCATTTCTTGATTATTTTGTACATTATATAGTGATTTCTGGATATGACAGGTGAGGATTTAGCTCTTACACCATCGTTATCTTCACTTCCTCCCATATTGTCCCAAAGTGGTTACCATATTTAGGGGCTAAGCAGTCACCACATCATTATGACTGTGTATGTATTGCTCCTTGTTGAGAAAAACAGCGTATTATGCTCTTCCTATCCTGTACTTCTTTCTGCCCTAGAATTAATGATTGCCTAACCAACCCTTCCCCCTTATTTTTTTACTTTTGCTTTATCTTCAATGAACTT